ATAATACTTTGTTGTAAAACTTATCCAAATTTTAAAAAATAAAGTTTTGTTCAGTAATTGCATTTAAATCATTTTACCACTAAATTTTGTCTTACATGCATTACGATTCAAGTACATTTTTGTAAAAAAATTAACAAATTAACAAAAAAGCGAAATTGAAAAATTCCTTTTTCTTTATAATCCTTTTTAGTCTTTAAACAAAACTAAAATATTCACACAGTTTTTTAAACTCTTTTCTAGAATTTTAAAATTCAAGTTAACTTTAAAGCCATTTATCTCAGAACTAACAAAAATGTACTTAAACCTTTTTACAAATAAGTATAAAAGAGTTAGTTTGAAATAATAAAATTATTCATTTAGTAAATAAAACCTGCATAATATTTCCTTTTATGAGAGCTCTAATAATGGCTACCTACTCTCTTTGTTATTTTGTTTAAAAAAGGCTTACGCTATTTCGTAAAATAATCAAGAAATTGTTCGGTAAACGTTTCTTTATCTCCTTTATTGTAGGTTAACGAGTCGGAATAAGAATCGATCGAATTCCTATTTATAAAACAACCACTTTAAATTTATCGAATGGCAGTTTATTGCAATCCGAATTTATTAAGCTTTTTACCAATAAAATCTGGGAATATTGGAATTATTCTTTCCTTTGTGCAGTTCGTTAAAAAAATAATTTTACCCGTGCTCTTACAAAAAATAGCTTTTCCATTTATTTATAAAATGTCTGTCGAGACCATATACAGTGATACAAATGTAACCCGAACAAAAGTTTTGCCCCTTGGCACGATTAAAAAATTGATCATTTTAATCAATCCAAATAAAAACATAAAATAGGTATGTTTGGTTTTAGATTTTATTTAAAAATTAAGAATAATTTTTTGGATTTTTTACTTTCGCGAGATACACATCTGAAATCTAAAACTGTGTCATTTCTATACGCCTTTGTTTCTATTTTCTTTTTATTATTTCTTTTTAAAGAAATAATAATTTAAAAAGGTATAAAACATGTATGATTTGGATTTTTTAAATAAAATTTGAAATTTGTTGATAAACTATGGTAAATAATAAATTGCACAAATTAAATTTATATTATATTTATTGGGGGCGCCATGGGGCCGGTACGGCCGAGAAAAAGTTATCATTTTTTTGAAAACTTCAATTTAAATTCTGCTTGCGCAGAACTTGTTTATTTAATTTCATTATAATCTCCTATAAATTTGGTGTGGTCCCCAGTGCCGGTTTAAGTTAGTTCGCCGCCCGGTTCTGGAAAAAACAAAACGCCCTATGCTTTAAAATATTATTTTTTAAAAACATTTTTAAAGTTTTAAGTCTTACTTTCTCACGTCAAGTGGAAGATTAGGTTGGTTAGGCTGGTATCTAACAGTAAACTTAGTATCCTATAAAATATAAAATGAGCCTTTATAAACAAATTATAAAAACTAATCAAAAGCACTAAATAAAAAATAAAACATTCTTTGGTTTATATAAACAATACTAAGTACTAAGAAAAACTAATCAAAAGTTATAAATAAATAAAACATTATTCTTTGGTTTAAATAAATATTGAGAAATCCTAATACTAATAATTAAAAGGTTGTTTTCAAGTCTTTATAGTAGCAAATTGTTTTATAATACACATTTATTTCATCTAGCAGGTCTTGATAAATGGACAGAATTGCTAAGGAGTCTTTCTTGGGGAATTGTATTTCTTAGGTAGTTCTTTACCCTTTTTAGAGCAGAAAAAGATCGTTCACCACTTGCATTTGAAACTATTATAAAAAAAAATTCGCAGACAATTATTAATATTCGGAAATGAAGATATTAATTTATTTTCGTATAAAACTTATACTAATTCCAATGGAGTTTCTATTTTTATTTCCGAAAGGGAAGTTACCAGTTTCTTGAGTTGGACACATTTTTGAGGAAAAAACTCATCCAAATGCTCCACGAAGATTTATGCTTTTAGATTAAACAAAAATTCAAATTTGTTTGTGCCAGATTTCTAGCTATCATATCGACAAATGATTTCGGATTATAGATTGTCAATTATTAAAATAAAACATACTGTTCGCATTGTTTCTTTTTTGCTTAAACTTGCCTCTGAATTATTTTCTTCAAATTGTAATTTTCTTATGATTATCCGCTTCTGAGCATAATTTTCGTTTCCTGTTAATTTCCTCGTAATGATCAAAATGATATCACGTAAAAAATCAAAGTTCTCAACTAAAAAGGACAAAAGATGAGCATTTGTGCTTAAATCCATATTTTGTTTTTTGACTGCTTTATTGGTTTCATTAACCCTTTGCAAAACGTCTATCCAAAAAGTTCAAATTATTCCGTTTCCAATAAATCAAGTTTTTCTGATGGAGAAGCTGCTTTAACTCTAACAACATTTTTCTCATTTGTATCCGTTGTCTCCGCCGACGCAGTGTCGCAATAATTTTTTTTCTAAATTCTAACGATTAAGTATTTTTTTTAAATTATGGGCGGTACGCGGTACCGCCCCAAAAATATTTACCGCCCGGTGCTATAGTCCCCAAAAAACCCCTGTTAAACCGGCACTGGTGGTCCCCATATCTCTGTGGGTAAAAGGCATAAGGGGATAAGTCAAAAAAAGCAATTTTTCGGTAGAGACTTAAACGTGTTTGCATTAATTCAGGAATTATATTTATGGTTAGCCAGTATACCCTTTTGCTAGCATATGACATGTGCTGGCAAAAGGGTAGACCCGCTAACCATAAATGTATTTTCTAAATTAATGCGAACACGTTAAAGGCACTGCTAAAAAAATCATATTTTCTAATAATTGAGATATCGGTATACCCAAAATCCACCAGCCGCCACTGCCATACCATAATAGAGGTATAATATTATTATTAACTTGGAAATGAGAACCCGTAGAGCATAACTTCATAATATATATATATATATATATATATATATATATATATATATATATATATATATATATATATATATATATATATATATATATATATATATATATATATATATATATATATATATATATAAATAAAAAAGTTTACAGTCTCAGGTTAACAGAATTAAAGTGATTTTACATAAAAAATAATATAAATATGGCATATGATACTATTTTTGTATTTTATTTGAAAATATTTGAAATTTTTCATTAGTGTTATTTTTGATCGCTGATATCTTTGAAACGGTTGCGAAAACAAACCATTCCAAAGTTATAAGAATTCAAAATTAAAAAAATAAAAATTCCCGTGTTATTGAAATGGAAAAACTACAAATGAATTGAGGCAAACCTTAATATTAATATTAAGGGCTCAAATATGCGCCAAAATTTTTGATTTTTAATGTAGGTACTACTATTAATTTTTCAACACCATTAGAAAAAAAATAATTTTAATTTTTGCCGGCGGCAAAAAGCCGCAAATTTACATTTTTACTTTTAAAACTCAAATATGGTCAGCTCTGTAATATGTAACATGTTATTTTTATTTATTAATAAACTTTTTATAATTATCAATTTTATGAAAAATTTCGTAATGAATAAAACTTGATATTAAATATTGTGTAATGTGCATTTTACATGCATGTGTACGGGCATTATTGTGTATGCTAACACACAGTTCACGTAAAGGATTAACACCCGATGAGTTAAAAAATATATTTGTTTAAATTGTTTTTTAAATTTAATTAGGCATGTTATGTCTTACTTTAGTATACACAAAATATTTTTTTTTGTTAGATGTAAGCTAGAAACTTAAAGAACCAAATGCGGTGTAAATGCCGCAGCGCGCCCGCTCATGTAATTCCCAAAAGCGCGCCCGCCCGAGGGATATAAATATATATATATATATTAGGGTGAGCCAAAAAAACTAACCTATCGGATTTATGGGTTAAAATGAACCTACATACCGAGCAAAAAATTACCCTGCAAGGCAAAATTTTTTGCTCAATTTTAAAAGGTGTCGGTGAGCATTCTAAGTTTTCCATTGAAATAACACGTAAAAAATATTTTTTCATTAAAAAGACTATAACTTTTGAACCGTTTGAGATAAAATTTTTTACGTCGCGGATTCTTGTAGAGCATAAAATTTCCCAAAGAATCTATACCAGGATTATTTTTTTTAATTCAAAAATTCGTATGTTTGAAAGCTTTTAAAAGTGTAAAAAATCACTAAAACTGCAGTTTGTTCATTTTAACTCATAAATCCGATAGGTTAGTTTTTTTGGATCACCCTAATATATATATATATATATATATATATATAAATATATATATATATATATTTGTGCAGTCTGTCTGGTAAATGTTTTACTTTACGTCACCAGTTTTCATTATTTAATAATGTCATTATATAGAGTACTTATATAGAATGCGGCGAAAAATTTGTGTTTGGGATTGGACTCTAAGTAAACAATGCCTAATATTTTTTTCCTATGGGCCTTTGTTTTAAAGATATGGAGGTATAAAGTTTTCTTAACTCATGATTCTTATAATAAATTAAAAGTAAGTTAGAAATTGCCATGAAACAAAAGATGTTTACAGTTGTCACATAGTATTATTGCTCTTAATATTTAGTGCAAAAAACAAATTTTTTCAAGAATATGAGCAAATTCCCAAGAAAAAACAATTACGAGACGGAATTATGAATACTGTACTAATAGTAATTAAATAAAGTTGTCATATGGCTCACTATTAGTTTTCGGTTTTAAAATTATATTTTTAGATCGATATCTCCAAAACAATAGCCAATCAAACAAATATTTCTATTTTTTTGCTTGGAATCCAATTTTCATTTTCCTTCTGGTATACATCACCGTGAATATTAAATATTTTAAAACTAATATCATAATGTGAAGTCTTTGGATTTACAGATATGTTAAATGTAAAACTAAAATTTTGTAAAAGCTCTTTTTGAGACAATACGAAACTATAAGGGTTTTCATAATAATTATTGTTTAATTTTAATTATTCCTAACTACAAAATGGTTATTTTTTTCAGGTAATATTTCATCCGCTCCAGCCGAAGTTCTACGCAAGCACCGCTTTTGCCAAGACAATAGTGGTCGGTTCGTAAGTTAGAATAATAATACTTTTTGTTTAGCAGTAAAAAGTGCTTAGATACGAAAATTTGAGATAGGTGAACGGTGCAAGCCGCAATAACATGCATCATACAACTTATTTTTTTTTATAAAAATTAAATACGACTTGAAAAAAATCCAGGAAATTAGTGCCCGACCGAAATACGATTTTTCGGCCAAAACCGAAAAACATCGGTAAATCGACACAATTATCTATTATCTATGTTTTACAACGATATATTTTTAGTCAATGTTTTGTTACATCGATGGTTTTAACTTTGCGTTTATATTCCTTTTTTAAATGTATTCTTTACTTTTTGAAAATATTTTGTTAAAACATATGAGTATGAGTATAAGAACTTATGGCTGGCCGACATCGCCTTACACTAATCTGCCAGAGTTAATTTTACTATCGTTAAGTTCTCATAACTATCCCTCAACTGTACAGCATTACCTTTATTTGGTGGAACAAATTTTCAACCCGGCTGGTAATCTCTCTTAGAAGGTCGTGGATGACAGTTTTGATAGTTAAGGCCCTTCCCGGAATTTTGTCGCCGGGCCGGGCCATACGCCCGATTTATGGAGGAAAACATTTTGGTTCTTAGGGGACATTAGACTGACCTAAAACTAATTACAATCCGGAATCCCCCTCAACCAGGGATTTAGTAATACCCCCTCATTCAATTGGGATTCATTAATGGGGCTTGGTTGGTTAGTACGCTGATATGACCCAACCCCACCTATCCTTGCTGGTCTTGTAGTACTTCCTGATCATCTGTGTCCGAGTCTGCTGAAAATCGGAAACTACTGTATACAAATGTTTGTCCCACAGTGCGAAACCATTTCTTCAGTCTAGAGTTCAAGCACTATCGATAGATAGTGCTTGAACGTTTGATGGTCTGTAGGGCAACTACCGATCGGTAGTGTCCGTGTGCGTCCATGAAATTATGCTAACAAATCGGAAACCGCTTTAGTATTGTTTGCCCCCTGTGAGATACTGAATCTTGTCTTCAGTACCGAAGTGATTGAGAAGCCGTTAGCAGTGGCCTCTGCTTTCGTGGATGTTCAACCCCTCATGTCAAGTACCGACTTCATAATATGCGGCTGTTTATTTAACTTGCTGAAAATGATAACAGATATACACGAATTATTTCACCCCACTTTGCCTAATCCTTAGTTGTCGTTAGTTGCTCTTTATATGGCTGCGTTGACTTGTCTGAGTTTAGATTACTTTCTAATTACCTGCTCGTTTAATGTGTTTTAAGAGACAGTTGTTTATTTTAGTTTCGTTAAGTTTTCAACACTTTAATTTTATTGGGGCTGGTTTATTACCAATGTTACGCTGTTTTCAGTAATATTGTTGATTATTGTAAGGTTTTTTTTTTGAAAATTTGCGTACAAGGTCATGCGGTTACTTGAGTGGCCCCTTCCACTCTTGGTTAGACTCGTTTCTTCTTTACATAAGGTGATTTATTGACCTGTGGTTAGTCCGCCAGGTATGCCGTCACTTATCACTTAAATTACTTCCGTGTTGATATTTATTCACTGGATTCACCTGAGAGATTGCTTTTTGAGGCACTAATTTAATGTTTCTATTAAGACTTTGGAGAAAAGGTACACCAATTTTACCTGCACAAGTACTATGAGTGATTTTTATTATTTAGTTCTAATTTTAATTTTTATTTGATTTAAAAACATTGAATTTGCGAAAAAATTTATCGGTGTTTTTCGGTCCATAATTTTGTATAGAATATTTGGCCGAAACCGAAACTGCGTCCAAAATCAGCATTTCTGGCAGAAACTGGCCTAAACTGGTCGGCGGTGTTCGTTTTTATTGCTATGACTTACTATTTTGTGTTATTATTTTGTGTACCATTTAAAATAATCTTTTACTTCACATTTCCCCTAACTGAGTCATGTCGCCGATGGGGCAAATTTACTTATTTACCTAGAGCCACTGTTGCATTGTCCAACATACCTACCATTATGGTAGGACTAGGGGTGTCAATCCCGAGCCCATTTTCCAATCCCGGGCCTTTCGGGACTAAAGGTAACTATCCCGGGATCCCAAACAAACAAACTAACGAACGATATCTTTCGGACTTCACACTAGTCGAAAGAATGGTTTTCAAGAATTCGTAGGCACATTGTACCCACGTTTACCCCCATTAACAAATAATTCCATTTCTTTTATCAATCGGGCCTTGATGAGTTCCAATTGGGGCTGTAACTTACATTAAAATTATCAAGTTTGTGACATTTTTTTCAGGTTTGACTTTTGAAATATGTTATATTACAGTAATTTTACATTTTCTTTGCTGATTTTATGCTATAGATGGAACCACTCTTGCTATGTTATTTCAATGTATTTTCATTATTGTACGGCGGTGTATAATAATTTGACTTGAACTGAGTAAAAAAATGAAGTGTTTATATATATGCTTATGAGTATTATAATATAAAAAAAGTCATACGCTTAAAAAAAAGTATATTTTATTCTCTGTAACTTATTACTAAGATCCCGGGATTGGGACTTTTAATCCCGAGATTTTCGGGACCGAAATTTTTACGGGATCCCGGGATTTACATCCCTATGTAGGACCATACCGAAGGCAATCGATTTGCTTCATTCATTTAGTCGGTACAGCTCTACATTACCCCCTTTTACTCTAGTGCATGCACATCTGCAGATGTTGATTTTCCTGAATATGATTTGTCGTCATTAGACCTAAGTATTTTTTTATTACAACAACATCGAAACATATGCGAAATATGAATATTTTTAAAATTGAAAACGCCTGTATATACAGGGTGTCCCAGAATATGTGGACAATCTCCCGGATTTAGATATAACACATAAAAATAATATGACAAGTTTCTAACCTACGGAGATACCGGACTATAAAGGACGCCCCTGGAAAGAAAAAAAAAGGATCGAAAATTTCAAAACACTCTATTTTCATCTGACACTGAAATCATTATTTTAATCGGTAAATTTAAAAAAAAAACATTGCAAAAAAAATAAAAATAAATGTAAAAAACCTTATTGTACAAAAACAGTTTTTTTCTCGTAAACATGTAAACATATCGATGTAAACATATCATTGTCGATCAAGATTACCTTTTTTTAGTTTTAGGTTTAAGCTTACTAAAAATATTATTGTTGTTCCCTTATAGTACAGGGTGGTAAACATGTAAACATATCGATGTAAACATGTAAACATATCGATGTCGATCAAGATTACCTTTTTTTAGTTTCGGGTTTAAGCTTACTAAAAATATTATTGTTGTGTCCTTATAGTACAGGGTGTTAAAAAAATAGCATTACTCTGTTAGAGTTAGTCCATCCCTGGCAAACTAAATAAGCCAAATGTGATTAAAAGTGCTCATTTTAAGGAAACCTTCCTAGTAAACAATGTATTTAAAAATTATTCAAATCTACCTTGTAGTTAAAAGTTATTTAAAAAAACATTTCCAGGGGCCAGAATCTCCGTAGGAAAAAAATTGTCATATTATTTTTGTGTTATATCTAAATCCGGGAGATTGCCCACATATTCTGGGACACCCTGTAGAATACTTGTGTATGGTAAAAATAAACATTTTTTAATTCCTTCCACCGCGGTGCACCGCCCCAAAGCCATCTTAAATATAAAAATTATAATATTCAGACAGAGGTGGAAAACGGTTTAATTTTTTTTTTCGAGCCAAGATGTTTTTTTAGCATAATTAACTTTTACAAAATTAGGCAAGTAATTTGAATTATAAAAAAAACAAGCTAAATGGGGACCGGTCAATTTTAAAACTATAAATATTTCATATTTCAGACTAAGCGGGGTTTGGTTTGTCCAATTTGGGAAATGTTACGATGTACAAAATAAACATTTTCGTAATTTTACTTTTAAGTATTATTAAAAAAAACCTTTTACTGCCGTGGCAAACGTAAAAAATTATTTGATCTGGGGCAAAAAACGGTAGTAATATAAACATACAAAAAATTTTGAGCTAAATTGTTTATTTTGAGTAAGTTTTCCAAAGCTGGGCACTTTAATAAAAAAAACAAGCAAAATGAGCGAACCCCCGATCAATGTCAAATATGAAAATATTTATATTTTTAAAATTGACCGACGGCCCCCATTTTTTTCTTTAAATCAATGTGCCAAATTATAGTTAGGCTCTAAAATCAAAAAAAAATGTTTTTAACCGTCTTCTACCCTCTCCTGAAATTCATATAATTCATATAAAAATAATAATATTCAGGCCCTGAATATTACTATTATTATTATTTAAGATGCCTCTGGGGCGATGGAATGAATTCAAAAAATATTATTTATTTTTTCACCCAAATATTTATTTTTATCATACACAAGTTTTCTTTATACAGGCGTTTTCAGTTTTAAAAATATTAATATTTCGCACCACCCTACTGCAGAGCCCGTTGGTTATTAAAAACGTTTTTTAAATTCTTATAATGTATATAATATTAGGTACCCTTTAACTTTTTGGTACACATAGAGAAACTATTATCTATTAGTAATAAAATTGATAAATTACATCGGACAAGTCCAATGCGATTTATCGATTTTATTGCAAAATTTGTATTTAATAGGTAATAATTTCTAATTAATTGCAATTAGGACAACTCAATGACTGATCTTTATAGCTTGAATTTCGTCTAATTTTGTTAACCTGATTTATTTGTTTGTTTTACTGGCTAAACTTTGACAACCCATACAGGGTGTTTCATTAGAAGTTTTTTTGGAACCGAAAGAGATATCGACTTGAAACTTAAAGGTATAGTTATTTTACCCAGAATTTTATACAGAAATTAAAAATTTAATAATATCTATATGGGCTATCTATTTGAAATACCAAATTTAATGTGACTTACGGTTAAACCGGAAGTGGCATTTTGTTTAAAATATTTTAGAAAAATAGACTTAGGTACTCTCTAAAAATGAATTAGTCAAAAATGACTAATTTAACAGTTATTAGTGGCTGCTT